CCCCAAAACCCCAAAACCCCAAAACCCCAAAACCCCTAATGGGAAAAGTGCTTAAATGAAGCAACTAGTTAAAAAAAGAAATAAATTGATACCTATGGAAATCAAAATAATAAAATATAAAAGTTGCAAATATAAATAAATAAGTAATGGGCTGTAAGCAATCTGGCTGTATTGAAGCTAAAGATGAGCGCATTAAAATCAAGACTGAAATTAATTAGTAGATTGAAATACAAGCTAATTTCAACTTTGCATCCAGTAATTATTCTTAGGCTGATTTTAAATATACTTCTAGAATAACCAGAGAAACTACCTCCTCTTTATTAAGATAATTGGTAAATGTCCAATAATAATGGAATTTCAATTTACGCCTAAGGTTCTACTGCGAACAATACTGTGAATTAGCTATAAATAAATCAATCAGTTTTCTATACTCCAGCAAATTCTGTTCAAGTTAGAAATTACTATTTTATTCTGAAATATAGAGCTCTCCTAGAAAAATAACCTTTGCGAATTAGTATGAAAAAGAATTGAGAGAAACAGTTATTGTTGAAAGATAAATGGCTAGACTGGTAAGAATTTCTTATAACTATTTTGTGATTTATAAATTATTTAAATAGGCACATGAGGATTTAGAAACTTTTAAGGAAAAATAAACTTAACTTATAAAGAAGTTTGACCCTAGAGAATTAAAATAATAAAGGGCATTACCTCCAATCAACTACGATTCAACATAAGGATCTTAGGGATTACAGAGGACAAAAACTAGATCAGTTCCAATGACAGCAAGGGGTTAAGTATTTGGCACTGGTCTTCTGAAACTTAATCTTGTCCCTTAATTCGGGCCAGAAGATAAGAACAACGGAAGAACAATAGGAGATGACTTTCAATCAAAGAATCAATCATCGAAGTAAAACTAGTAAGAGTAGAGGAACTTGCCTCCTATTATAAAAAAGAAAAAGACAAACATTTAGCAGGACTTCTTTGATTTAGAATCGAAACTTAGTTCTATTCAAAATGCTGCATCGATAGAATCATATAAAAGAAAGGATGCAAATCAAGGTGCACATGGTTCAATGATCCTTGTAATGAATCAGACTATTCCTTTAGAATAGGTAACAGTTAACTAGATTCCAAAGGACGAGCCTGTAAAGCAAGAGTGGGGTAAAAATCCTCCTAAGGTGAATCAAAATCTATCCAAAATAGGCACACTAAAGTTTGAGAACTTGCTTAACGAAATCAATTGATTTTCGGATGATTGAAGTAATTGAAAATTGTTCAATCATGTAGAGCAAGAAGTAACATTATTCTAAATTTGATGCCAACAGCATTATAAATAATTGTAATTCCTTTAGAAAAATCTTAATTATCTAATAATTTATCAGTTAAAATTAAATCAAATTAAAGATTAAATGGAAATAAAAGTGAGGCTCACTATGCCAATCAGCCATAATATACACAACAGAGATTCTGAGGATGATTACACTCTTATTTTTATAGTATCAAAAGACTAAACTCTAGAAAGTTTACTTTAAAAAGTTGATTAAGACCTAGATGGTATCTCTAATAATACTAAAGTCCTTATACACAATAAATTGATAGATTCAGATGTCCATATGAAATCAAGGTTAGTATTATTTTCCAAAATTATGAAGATACTTTAACTATAATGTTTTAGCTTAACTTAATTGGGAATATAAGATTAAAGTCATATCACCCTCCTTAATCATAACACTAGCAATGGAATTTCATGTAATATATTTGAATCTTTAAAAATAAAAATAGGTAAAATGAACAAATTGAAAAATCTTTAAACCAGAAGCTATACCTCAAAAGATAATGAGAATTAAGATGAGAAAATAACCCCAGAATTAATAGGCATGATGACAGATGCTGACAAACCTTTAATGCCACATGGCTACTTTCTTAAAGAGAGACTTAATAATCTGATAAACATGCTTGAAAACGAATTGATTCAAACAGCTGCTCTAGATTTAAGAGTTTAGCAAGAATAAATGTTCGTCAGAAGAAACTAATTCGGGTAATTACTGGAAGCATTTGCTGGGGTAAGCAATGTGAGTTAGATGAGAACGCCTCCAAGGCTACAGAGAGAAAGATTATTTAGTGAAGACCATTAGCAATTTAACTAATCCAGCCTGCTCAATTAGATCAGTACTGAGGCAAATCAAGAAAAAGTAATAATCCTTAAAGAAATGGGGTTTAATGAAGATCAAGCTAAATCTGCTTTGATAAGATTTAGAAATAACTTAGATCAAGCAATGAACTATTTGCTGTCTGGTGAAGATGCTGAAATGAACTCTAACTCTACTCAATCAAGTGTTTAAATATCTTAAGACAATAATAGTGGCATTTAGCCCTAATAATAACTGCAGTAAACACAAAGTTAGCTAAATGAGGACTACGTCTCTTAACTAATGGATATGGGCTTTGGTAGATAAGAGGTTATATCAGCACTAAGGCTTTCAAGAAACGATTATGAATTAGCATGTGATTATTTACTGAATAGTGAATCCAGATATGAAGAACCAAATTTCTCAGTAAATTATCCATCCTAAGAACAGATAATGTAACAGAGCAGGCAATTCAATCTTGACTAATAAGCCAATTAATAATAAAATCAAGAAAATTTATAAGCTTAAGAATCAATAAATATAAATAATCAAGTGATGATACTCGATTAATAACATGACTATTCGTAAGAGTATGATTAGGTAGTTGATGATGAAGAAATCCCTGAATAAACAGAGGCATTTAACACACAAAATTACCATTGATATCAAGCCTGCTCATTCACAAATAGTATTAGATAATGATGATAAGAATTTTATTTATTGTTAATCTATTAATAATAAACTAATTGTCACTAGATAACCATAATTGTATATAGATGTTTATCTTTATTTATTAAATCATTACTGGCATTCTCATTTTTTCTTCATTGCCTAAGATTTCAATGCTTGAACTTTACTCGTTATAGTTGAACTCTTCTTTTTTTTATTCTCTCTGACTGGCACTTCATCATTCTCTTCATCATCTTAATAAGTTTATCTACTGCCTTTTTTCACAGCTTACTCCTGTTCTTCTTCTTCCTCCTCCTCTTTTTCTTTGGCTTCTCTTCTTAATTTGGTTAGCTCTTTCTTTAAACTGTGAATGAGCTCCTTTTAATCTCTTCTTATCTTTTCAGATCTCTCAAAAGCCTCTAATAGCTGTTTGTAATCCTTTTTCATTTATTTGAATTTATCATCATTCATATCTTTCTTCATATTTGCTTTTTTATATGCTTCAAATTATCTCTCTAATTCAAGATTTTTCTTTCTTTCCATCAATAAGTCATCTTTGAGTTTTCTAACATCAAATGTATCATCCCTCGCTGCATCTCTTTTCTTAGATGCTGACCTTAAGAAAGAATTAGTTGAATGTCTAACTGAGTCATAAAATGAAGGCCCCTCTCTTGCATTTTGATTAGCTCTAGATTTTGATCTTTAGAAACTTTGAGATCTTTTCATGCTTGAAGATCTACTTTGATTCAATTTATTTCTGCTTGCTGAGAGCTCGTTAGTCATATATCTACTCTCTTGAGTATCATTTATAAAGTTTTTTCTCTTCTTAATTGAGTCATATTTTTTACTGTTACTTCTTTGATTCCTTTTGGCTACATTCGAGGCTCTTGAAACACTTCTAATAGATTATCTTTTAGTGCTATCTCCACTAGAATTGCTTGCATTTCTATTTCTCAAACTTGCTCTCAACCTTGATGAGGCTAATTACTTTTAACTGGCTTCTTTTTTTGGTTTTAAGATACTTTTGTTCTTGTTGATTGTAGTATTTTTTCGAACAGATGATTATCTAGCAGAGTTTACTTATTCATCAATCATTACTGAAGAATCATCATCATTTACGTTTGTAAGTTTGCTTTCAAGATTTTTAATTTTATCTTGAAGTGATTTAAGGTTATTTTGCATTTTCTGATAAGATGCATCTCCTGAAAGTGCATTTTTAGAACTTCCAGCATTTATGCTTAATCTAGATCCTTACTTATCATCATTATTAGCGCTAGAAAAGGCATTTACATTATTCAAAGTTTCTCTTCTTGAATCATCATTAAATAAAATGCCCCTTATTGAGTTTTACATAAACTATGTTTGATCATCATCTCTTTTTTATACTGTAGAATTTTTAATGCCAAAACTAGAAGTACCCATTTTTTAAGAATCAGGAGTTTATAAGATCATTAACTCGCTCTGTTTCATCTAAGTATTTGAATTATATGAGCTAATATTATTCTTTGTCAATGATCCCCATCTACTGTCAAAATCCTAATCAACCTTGATTAAATCAATACAGCCATTCTTTTCGTAGACTTAAGTTGGAGCCTAATTTTCCTTTCCATTAAAGTTTGATTTGTAGTTAAATGGACTGCTTTCTAACTAAGCTTACTTTTGTCCGGATGTATTAAAAGATTAAACTGGTTTAGTGTTATATTGAGATTAAATCCCATTTGAGCCTAGAAGATTTGAGCTGCCTGTTGATGTAGCCGATGGAGGTATATGCTTTGGATTTCTGACCTAATTGTAATAATTGTTTGTTGGAGAATTAGCATCATCTGAATTAACAGACTAAAGGTTGATTGGTTTGCTTTTAAACACATTTAAGTTATTGATTTGCTCATCAAGGATTGAATGCATGCGCATTTCTTGATCCTTTGTGATTATTTCTTATGATGGGTTGCCGAACATTTTGAATTTTAAATAATTAATTCCTCACTATCTCAATAATATTCGTTACATGGGGTTTTGGGGTTTTGGGGAGATCGGAAGAGCGTCGTGTAGG